GAGGATAATAGAGACAATAAGGTTTCCATCTCTCGTTCCATCTCTTTCGCCGTTCATCCGTCTCACTCGCTCCCTGTCTCTTTCTCTCTCTCTCTCTCTCACGCGCGTTGACACGGTACACGTGATGAGCGTAACACGTCGTCCTTATAACGCTCTCCTTCTTCACCTTTCCAACCTTTACTGCCCATCGCCTCGAATCGTTCCTCCTTTTCTTTTCCAGTTAAACCTCTTTGATTAGGTCGCCTAATTCGACACTTCGAACAACGTGTGCGTTCTCTCTCACGTAATATCGCAAAACCAATTATCTCGGCGATGCAAACGACGGCAAACGACGTCTTGGAGGAAACGTGAATTTTTATTTATCTTTTTCTTTTTTTTTTTTTTTTTTAAAAATTTTTGGAAATGGAAAATTTTTGGGGTTTTTTTTTTTTTTTTGGGGTAATCGGGCGCATTCGATAGAAGATATCGATCGGTTTCGTTTTTATTGAAATATTTTGGCAATTGGAATATTTATGGGATGTTTTCTTTCTTCTTTTTTTTTTTTTTTTAAAAATTTTTGGAAATGGAAAATTTTTGGGGTTTTTTTTTTTTTTTTGGGGTAATCGGGCGCATTCGATAGAAGATATCGATCGGTTTCGTTTTTATTGAAATATTTTGGCAATTGGAATATTTATGGGATGTTTTCTTTCTTCTTTTTTTTTTTTTTTTTTTTTTCTTTGGAAATATTTATTTAATTAACGAAGATATTGTAGAGGTTTATGATATAGTAGATATTGACGTCAACCGATATTGGTGGATTTCTGTCGTGTAAGTGGTGTGACGTAAGTCAAATTTTCATTTCATGCTTCTGGTGGATTGTAAATAGAAACAATATTTTTTTTTATGGAAAAGTAACAATTAGCTTTATAATATTTCTTGTATTTGAACGGATTTTGAGTGCTACGAAAAATATGTAACGATTTAATTCGTATTATAATTGAGGATATGTTGAGTAAATTTATACTCGAATACTGTATAATATTTGTTTGAAAATAAATATGTAAACTTTTGATTCAACGATTCTTTTTTTTTAAAAAATGCACGATTCGATGTTAATAATTTTTTTTCTTACGATGATTACGTAAAATTCGTATAAAAACTATCTTTATTTTAAACGAAATCGTTTAATTTTTAATGTATTAATCAAGTCTGTGAAAAATTATTAACCTATTTTCATTTCAAAAATAATTATTAATATAGCAGACATTTTATTCTAAATTTCCTAAAAATAATTATACGAATGAAACGCTTAAAATAATACTCGTCTGTTCACGCTTTAATCTTTCATTCTTTTACGAAAAATTTGGAATTAAAAATAAATTATTCCTTTTTTATTAAAATTCAAAATTATAATTATACAATTTATAGAAAACAAACTTAATTCTCATATATCCACATCGACTATCTTCAACAAAAATCACTAACATAAAATTATTTTAATAACTTTTTTATTTACTTATCCACCTCTCAATTTTTTGTGGAGTATCAAAAGTAATTATTAAAGAGCAAGAGAGATCTGATTTTCTTTATCCAGTATATCAACGAGTCAATGATACAATTTTCTGGTTTTGATTTCTAATTCGAATTTATGAAGATGGAATAACGTTCGAGATAGTATCGTTTTATTTCTCGAAATAAAATCCAGACAAGTAGTCGGACACCCGTTACGCTCTCACCGTCTTATGAGAAAATATCATTCCCAGAAGAGGCTTTGCGAACCTCTGCTACCCTCCACCGCAGCAAACCACGATTCTCTCTCAAGTTTACTGACCCCAAGGCATTACAGTTGTTTTCACAACGAGATCGAAAATCAACAACAAATTGCGAGAATCTTTCGACATTTGAAAAGAAATAATTTTTCTTTCTTCTTAAAAATATCAAAAGACTAATATAAAAGGTTATATCCTTCTCCTATTTTCCTTTTTTTCTCTCTCTCTCTCTCTCTTTATCAATTATCCAGGGAATAATTTTGTAGAATGAGATCTATGAAATCTTTGGCAAATGTTACGAAAGTAACAGTTTATAAATGTCTATAGAAGATAAAATATCCAAAATTTGAATTTTGAATTTTTTATTACTGACTTTTAATATTTTTATGTAAAATCTTGAGACGAGAGAGTATACAATTATATACCTATAATTTGTATCATTTATGTTATACAATTTAAGATATAAAATTCGATTTTGGAGATAAAAAGAAAATTTTGTACGTTATACGAAACTTTCTATTTCTTCTTTCGCTATTATTTTGTATTCTTGTCCATTTTCTCGATGGTCGAAAGATCGAAGATCGCTTAAATAACCCTTCGAGGTCGATGTCATACATTCTACAGCGGCCAAATTCTACACCATGCTCGTTACTTTCTCTTTTCTCGTCCATATTTCTTCGAGTAAAGAAATTCGAGAACGATTCGTGGATATAAAAACAGATAAATTCGATAAAAAATCGAACGCGATGAAAAAGAAATAAACAAAAGGAAGGAACGAAAGATTATTAAGAAAAGAAATAGAAGCTCGATAAAACGATAACAAGAAATAAAGAATACAAAGCACGGGAAATAAACGGAAAAAAACGAAAGAAGGAAAGAGAAAAGAGAGAAAAACCGATGAAACGAATGCAATGATAACGCGTTCGAGATAAAAAGTACAGAGCACAAGTTAAAACGGAGAGAGGAAGATCGGCAAACGAAAAAGAAAGAGAAAAAAAAATCGAGAGAAGAAAGATTACTAGAAGAAAGCGCGGAAAAAGAGGGGCCAATGAAACATCGAAAATAAAAAGTAACAAAACGAGAATCTAGATAAAATAAATCTGGATAAATAAGACTAATAAACCAAAAAAAAAAAAAAGAAAAAAGAAACAAAACCGAAAGAAAAGAAAGCGCGGATAGAGAGAGAAGGTCGATGAAACGGACACATGATAACGCGTCCGAGATAAGAAATATAGAGCAACACGGGCCAAAAGGAAGACATATTCGGGGAATAGGGTGGCCAGTGAACAGTGAAAGAAGGAAAGTGGATACGAAGAAGAGTGGAACGTCGAGAGAAAGGGAGAGGAGAACACGTGGAGGAGGGCAAGAACGAGATGAGGCGAATCGAAAGAGGGAGGGAGAGAGGGAGAGGGAGGGAGAGAGACGGCCACGCAGAGAGCAGCGCTAGGAGGAGCGAGAGCGAGGGGGATGGAAGAGCAGGGAAAGAGAAAGAGAGGTGGCACGCGCAATGCGGGTATTGATTCACGGCGGCAGCCGGCAACCAGCCTGAAACACACGACCGAGTCGACTCGACTTCGCGACTCTGAGACTCGATTCACTACAGTGACACACCACAGCGACCATAGAAAGGGGGGGAGAGAGAGAGAAACTGCTTGACTAGGCTTTGCCACCGATCGCATACAAACCAATGATCGGACGTTGTATAGCGTATATCTGGTTGTGGTTTCACAGGGAATTGGCCCTTTTCTCCGTTTGGGTCCAACTTGGTCGATAAAGGGACCACGTAAATTGGAAATCCTTAAGAGATTGAGAAGCACGTTGGGCTCCTTCCGAGTCCAACTCTTGTATCGAATTCTTGCAACGAGGAACGTGCAGATTCGATCGCGACCTATTTAATCCTCGTAAAACGTATTTAGTCTCGCGTTCCTCGACGATTTCGTTGTTGCAATTTGTCGTAAAGATACGTTTACTTCGAGGGAGTAAGTTATATATTGCAGCCATTTAATACCGTCTCGAGAATTCGAGAAATGCGTCCACGCAGGACACGCGTCTTCAAAGAAATCAAAGTATTAACATTGGTTCGCTCGTAGAAACTAAAATAACATTGAATCGAAAGATCTGGATAAGATTAATCGAGAAAATCGACGTTTGTGTCGTTCGTAATGGAAAAGGTCGAGAACCTTGACGACTCACGATAATATATTTCCACGTAATATCTTTTTTTTGTCGGGTAGTGATTGATGGTAATAAGAAAAATTAAAATAGTGTCCTAATTATTTTGTTTTATACGAAAAATTATTCATAAATTATATAAACGATAGGTAACGCTTTCGATTTATTGGTATGGAAATAAGTTCGATCGTTTGATTCGTTAAATTTCATCGAAGAAACGAGAGTAATAAAAAATCGGGAATATTTAAAAATTATAATTGTAAATTTAGCAAAACGGACAACGACAGTCTACGCTAAAAATAAAAAGTAATGGCCAAATAATCGAAGACTAATCGATAATATAAAAAGCACCAAAGACCGCGTCGAAAGTACAGACACCTCGTCACATTAGACCTTAATTCAACCGCAGTAGTGCATACTCTAGTATAGTCAGCCGCAAATTGTATCTGTCGCCATCTCGTATTCCATGAAACGCCCTAATTTTTCGAGCCAATAAATCGATTGCGAGATGTTGGTAATAAATAGCGATGAAAGTACATTTGCGAACATTACAATTTTATCTTATTAAAAGTAGTACAATCTAACTATGACCAGACAACTTTCTACTATATAAAGTTCTACTATACCCTCTACCGATCACGATTTATTCTACGATTATTCTGAAAGTAATCGATAGCTTACCATTAATCGGTAACCGTTGTATAAGGGTAACTATTCGACGGTACCCTACATAACCGATGATCAATATTTCAAAGAAACATTCTCTGATAACAACATTAAAAAGGGTACTGTATTATCGACCTCAGCGTTTTCAGTATTCCCGATAATACCAACAGTCACCCTGTTTTAC